TCATTGTATCCTCATGATGGAATCTACACTTTGTAGGAGGGTCTTTGGTGACACAGCCTTCTGGCTGAGTTACACATAATCCATGTGCAAACAAACAAATCTCTTTTGGGGTATAAGTCCAAAATGTCCTGCAGCCCTCCATGAGCTCTGTCCTTCAACAGTCCAACCAGGCCCATCACAGTGTCCCTCTGCTTGTCTTTTTAGCTCTCCTTGGGCTCTGGTCCTCAGTCTAACAGGTCCTATCTTGGTACCCTAATTGGCCAGCTTATGTATAAAGGTTCCTGCTCTGGGATGAAGCAGTACCATCTAAGGCTTCCTCCATGGAGGTCTTTTGCCTGTCCTTTAGTCTTTGACCCCAGCTCTCCAGCTGGCTCAGTCCAAGTTCAGTCTCATTTCAGGGGGGGTTACAAGTCCAGATATAGTCCCTTACTGGGTCTGTCTAAACTTCTTTCTATCAGAGCAAAGCCTCTTTCCCAATGGCTTTTGGATGATAGGGGGAAGAGAGAACAGGCCCACCCACTACTCCACGTCCCAGCTCAGGAACAGTAGCAGCCACATGCCTTGTTACTTTAACAAATTAAATTTCCCTGGGCCACTTCCCATAGCCTATCTTAATTTGAATCTTGGTAGTTGGCCAGAAAATATTCCCTTGGCACCCAGCCCCTGCCAGCAGCTACCTGCTCTAGTCCCCGCAGCTAGCCAGGAGTACCTCTAAGTCCCCCTGTCCCTGCAAGCAGACTGATACAGCCCTTTCAGCTCCTTTTATATGATCCTGCTGGGCCCTGACTGGCTGGTCAATGCAGACCCTCTCATTGGCTGTGTCCCTCTCAGTCAATCTAGGCAGCTTAGAGGACATCTGTGTTGCTCTTTCCTGATGTGGGGATAGGCCCAGCGGGGAGAAAGGGGGTCACAAGGCCTCTAGATCTAGTCCAGCCTGTCACAGAATCTTTTTAGGATCATTTCTTGTTTGTTGTTAACTATTGGAAAATAATTTGTGAACTATCATTAAATATTAATGTTTTAATATTTCCAGTGATATTTCCTTTTTTATATGCTATCCTTAAAACCATTGATATGAATGGTATTAATGTTGTGTGAAGTGCTCTCTGTAGCATGCTATCTTTAATAAATGCACTCTTGGATATTCATAGTTTCATTCATAGGGCGATTCTGGGCGGCCGACCTAGGTCCCATGCTTTGGAGATCCCTACCGTGGCTGCCCCAACCATCCTATGGAACAGGATGGAGCACCATATTGATGCTAGCATGCAGGGCCCAGGAGGTTAAATGGGAACCTGATGCAGGGTGGCAGCAGGCATTGGGCCCCTCTCGTACTCAACAATGGTGGTGAAAGCCACAGGAAGTAGAGTGACATATGCAGCAGCCTGTGCTGCTCCACTGCTGTATCCCAGAGAGGTCGCTCAGCTTCACCATGGCAGTGGGATGTGGAGCACCCTTACCCCAGGTCACTCCACTTCCCTGAGTGCTGCAGGCTCAGGGGAACAGAGAGGTTGTCGCGAGACTCACAGGTCCGTTGATGCATACCCAAGCGGGGAAGGACAGAACCAGGTGGACCGTTTTAGCAAATCAAAAATATTTATTTATAACAGTGATGAATTTATAGTATTTATTCTAAGATTTTTAATAGACCGTGTTAATAATGAATTTACAGTATTTATTATATTCTGTGATTTCTAGTTAAACATGTCAGAGATATAAGGATGGGAATGGCAAGGGGAATAGTCTCTATTCTAAAAATATCCAGCTACACTAATTAAATAACAGTGATAACTACAAACTCTATGTACTACCCAAAACAACTACAACACTAAGCTTATACAACAAGAAAAAAATCAAATCATACATACCAACTTACACGGAACATTTCAAAGATATCGGTTTGGTTGCGAATGTCTTGGTTACGCCCGAGAGTCGGGGGAGGTGGCTGGTCGGTTGATCACGCCGGCAGCGCTTTGAAGTATACAGGAAGGCACACGCATGGTAGTACCTCCTCAAGTGAACTGTGCGATGGGTTTTTATCCCCAAATCTGGACATCGCTTTCCCGCGCTTGAATATTACCATATATGGCCCAGCGGTCACCAAGTGGGGGGTCTGTGTCCCAGGGGTTGGGCTGAAACTGTGCAGGTTTCATGCGACCAGGTAAGCCCCGAGTTCTCATGCCAAGGTGACAGGTGGGAGAGTCTGAGGCTATTTTCCCCTTTTCACACCTTCCCTTTTTCTAAAGGCAATGGTATGCTGGAAGGGTGCGGCCGGTTTCTCCCAAGGAGTACTGCAGCCCACTATAGCAAGAGCGGCCTGGCCAAACTTTTTACTGGGGGGAGGCAGTTTCTTTTCTCTAACAGAGCACCCTTACCCCAGCCCACTCCACTTCCCTGAGTGATGCAGGCTCAGGGGAACAGAGAGGTTCCGCTTTCTGGTCCTGCAATGAAGTGGAGCAACATGGCTGGGAGAGAGTGGTAGAGTTTAGCAGGCTGCTGGGTGTCTCTGCTTCTCGTGGTCCTGCTGTCATGCAGGGGGCCCCGACCCCTGCTAATGTCCTGCACCAGGCCCCCCAGGTAATCTTAGGGACGCTTCGCTCAGGGAATGGACTTTGGAGAAAGGGTGAAATGAGGTTGGAGAGAGTGGAGAAGGGGCAGGACGAGGCGGGGCAGGCGTGGAACAGGGATGGGGTTGCGAGAAGGGAGGAATGGTCATGAGCGGAATGTCTGGAAGAGGCAGGGTAGGGATGTGCCTGGGCAGGGATTGCCCTTTGCCACACTAGGGACAACCTGATCAGGACATTGGAGCGTGTGAAAAGTATGTGGGGAGTAAATGTTGGGATGTAGAGGGGAGTATCTGGTATTTCAAGTTAGATATGAGCTCAAAGTACAAAATATAGATCAGTGTTTCTCAACCAGTGGTACGAGTATCCTTAGGGGTACTTGAGAGAAGTCTGGGGAGTACGTCAACACAACTGAAAATTGGAGAAAACTGAATTTTTGTTTTAAGTTTTATAGCGCTTTATTATTTTTGTAATTTTTACACCCAAAAATTTCATCGCCCGCCTGGCTAAGATTAAGTTGTTCAAATAAATGTGTTGCAATGGTAGAAAATTTTTGTGTGTGTCTGAAAACTAGGTACTGGGGGTATTTTTTTTTTAAAAGGGGTACTTACATACAACTTTGCTAAAACATGCTGATTTAGAATATAGAGTCATAGGGCTGGGAAGGACCTTGAGAGATCATCATGTCCAGTCTCCTGCATTCATGGCAGGACCAAGCATCATCTAGAGCATCCCTGACAAATATCTGTCTACCCTGCTCTTAAAAATCTCCAGCGATGGAGATTCCACAACCTCCCTAGGCAAATTATTCTGTCAGTTAGCCACCCTGACATTTAAGCTTTTCCTAATGTCCAATCCCAATCTCTCTTGCTGCGATTTAAACCCATTGCTTCTTGTGCTATCATCAGAGGTTAAGAATAATTTTTTCTCCCTATTAATTTTTAAGGAGAATATTTTTTCATATTTGGATCTTCTATTCTCCTAATGTTCTGGGTATTAAGAGTTAGTATTTTGTTCAATTGAATCTTATCAAATTACAGCAAATAAGAGGCTCTACTGGGTTTGAAATCTTTACAGTGTGCTCTGAAGATGATGCTGGGCGTCATCTTCAGTTTTGTTTCTCTACTGCAGGGATCAGCAACATTGAACCTCAGTCTTCCTTGTCCCTCCCCCCATGGGGCTGGAGTACCAGGGGAGTGAGGTGTCTCAGTTGAGGGGCCACATCAGTGAGGGTTGGAGGTTTTTGAGATTTTTTTTTTTTTACTTCTCATTTGTGCAGTCCTCAACTGATTTTTCTGTG